TAAAGGATAGTTCTAGAAACGTGGCGTCACTAGTCATGTGACCTCGCTGACGCAACAATATCTAATATTTTTACATGCTGCTAGTGAGAGAACCTGTTGTTAAAATATTTGAAACCCACCACTGCTTATAGGCCTAATTTCATCAGTAAATTTTTATGTATAATCTTTGAAACTAATGTAGGCCTAACTTCAAATATAACATTTCAACAGAAATTCTTAGATTAATTGTATGGATGCCTCACTTACTTAGCTTAGAACGATAAACAAACATGCTAACTCACCCAGTAACTGAATAGCAAACCAGGCACGATAACTCTCACTTCTAACATTAAATAACTAAATAACTAGAAGGAAGGCAGCTAGTCAGCACCACCCATCGCCAACTCTTGGACTACTCTTTTACCAAAGGATAGTGGGATTGACCATTACTTTTTAATGCCCTCACGGCTGAAAGGGCGAGCATGTTTGGTGGGACGTAGATTCAAACCCGCAATCCACAGATTGCGAGTCGAGCGCCCTAACCACCTGGCGGTGCCGGGTCAACAAGAGTACCTTTGATGAACTGCACCAATGATAAGAGTTCAGAAAACTCACCTCTGTTAGTAGAACCAACTTCAAAGGCAGCACACTGACAATGAAAAATAGCAATAACACTTTTCTCAGTGCCTGTGAAAGAGGAGTTCAGATGATCATCAAAGCACTGATGAACACTAACCTGGTGTTTAGTCACGAGTACACGACTACATTAAAGAAATTCGATTACATGTGGTTCATCTCCAATGGGACCAATACATCCTGAAGCCAAGAAACACATTTGTGGAGCTGAAATGTTAAGAAACTGGAGGAAAGGGGCCAAGTTGCAGTGGTAGAGACCTTAATTGTTACCACCACCATCATTGCTACATCAGTGATACCAAAGCTACCATCAGCCCTGTCACGAATGAAACCAGTAAAAAACAAAGTATGAGGTAAATTAAGAGGCCTCCACCTCAATGGCAGTCAAAGAACCAGAAAAAAATTTAAATTTCTAAAGAAGTCACCTGTGGAACACAAATACCATTTACCTTAAACTGTGTAAGAAATGTAATCCCCAATATGTAGGTCCTACTTTAACGATTCTCAAAGAACGTTTCAACAACCATAAGTTTTCTATTATCACTGAAAAAAATCTTTCTATTGCTCTGAACTTCAATCAGCCTGGTCATTCTATTAATAATGTTACTCTTATCGGCATTGAAACCAACTTTAAAATTAAAGCTAATAGAGAGATAAAACAAGCTTATTGAATTGCTAATTTTAAATACTGTTCAACCTTATGGAATAACTCTAGATCTGAGAATCATTGATCTCAGATTATTGGTTTGTTCTCTGTTAGAAAATTAATTTTTTTACATAGTGTAAACTCTCAATGTTTGCCTCTAATCTTTATAATACTTACTATTTATTTGTGATAAGTTTCCATGCCTGTCTTTAGAAATTGGTCTGCTTAACATTTCTTTTTCAGTCATTCTCCATGTGTAACCTTTATTTTACATTAATAACACTTAAATATAGGTTTTCTTCATCATATTGTTGCGTCAGCGAGGTCACGTGACTAGTATCACGCCACCTCTTTCTAGAAATATCCT